GGTGGTGGTGGAGGGGTTGGTGGTGGAGGTGGTGGTGGTGGAGGTGGAGGTAGAGGTAGAGGTGGTGGAGGAGGTGGAGGTGGTGGAGGTGGTGGTGGTATCTATTGATTGAGGGTATGCAGCCAAAGTACAGTGTTTTTTGGGTTGGTTTATTTTTTTCTTCTTTCTTTCCTTCCTTTGTATTTATTTGAAATATAGTTTAATTCACTTGTTTCTGTTTGTATTTTGTTCCCTCCCTAGCCCCATTCCTGTGGATTTCATTTGATGTTTGGCTAGGTAAAACCTTAACAGGGTTTAACTCGAAAGTAAAAACTAAAGGAGCCCTGGTGGCGCAGTACTTAAGCGCTCAGATATTGATCCCAAAACTGTTGGTTCAAACCCACCAGCCACTCTGTGGGACACAGGTGAGGCCATCTGCTTCAAAGACTTGCAACCTTGGAGACTCTGGGCTTGCCTTACCCTGCCCTATAGGGCTGCCACCCCGAGGAACAGCTTGGTGGCCCAAGATCTGGTTTCTGTCTTATTTGTTTAGTCATGGTACAAAGTAGCCTTAAGGTAGTGATGCTGAGTGAGACGTGACCTTGCTGCAATAAGGTTAATTTAACCAGGATGGAGGGTAATGCATGTTTTAGGCTGCCTGAGCAGTCTCATTTTTTTATAGCTTGTCTCCGTGCTTTAGTGAGAGAGCAGTGTGAACGGTTGATCATTGATTCAGCTGCTCTCCGAGTCAGACCCTGGGTTTGTTGGGGTGGGGTTGGGAGTGGGGGGAGGTGAAGAGCTGAGTCCGGTAAGATGTGGCCTAGGCTTGAAGAGGCATGTGAGCAAACTGGGAGGGACGGCAGATGTTCTGGGTCACCAGGTGGATATGGGAGCACGGATGAGGGATCCAGCACTCCATGAGTCAGAATCCCCAAGGGGTGGGGAGGCCCCAGGCACTTGCTGCTCAGCCTGGCTTGGAGAGGTCTGTCCAACCTTCTGATGCCACACACAGGTGATGGCTTGTCCAGGGTTGGCCATTGAGTTTGTGACATAGAGCCAGAATGCAGGTATCCAGGTACCATAGCCCCCTGAATCTTTCCATCACAGAAGCCTGGGGTGAGGGGTGGGGGTGGGAGGCCTCATCTGGTACCATGACTGCACCTGGGCAGAACAGGCAGAGAGCCCGGCTTGACTTTCATAACCTGGAGGAAAGTGCCTGCATCTCTGAAGGAGATAGGTAAGGTTGGGCTGCATTCTGTGTTTCAGAACCCGCTAGGAGGACATTCTCCTTTGGTGCCACAATGCTCGCTGCCCGCCTCTCCAGGCCCCTGTCCCAGCTCCCCGGGAGAACCTTGAGTGTCTGTCATAGAGAACATGGAACGAGGTAAGAAACTCAGAGTGGAGGCCTTGAGGTCACCTGTGGATGGTGCAGGTGGCAGTCAGTCCCTGACTCTCCCCAGCCATGGACTAGCAAAGGAAACTTAAAGGTGACCACAGCGACCTGACCAGGTTCTGGGGCAAACGAAAGAGTCTATTTTATAACTGATTTTTCACCAGTGTGTTATCTGGAAACTTTCCTATGTACCTTTCACCCAGCTTCCTCAAGTGTTATCATCTTTCAACCCCTAGTGAGCTTATCCGAAGCAGGAAATCAGGGAGGGCCAAAAAGAAGAGCCCATACCAAGGCCTCAAATAGAAAGTAAATATTTAGAAAATGACGATGGCAACATATGTACAAATATGCTTGATACCATGATGTATGGAATGTTAGAAGAGCTCTAAGAGCCCCCAGTAAAATGATTTTTAAAAAGGAGGAAATCACCATTTATATAATACTGTTAACGAATCTACAGACCTTATTTAAATTTTTCCAACTGTCCCATTATTGTCTTCTCATTTTTCCAGGAACCCACGGTGTATGTAGTTGTCATGTCCCCTTAATCTCTTCCTAGCAGGGAAAAACCCTTCAGTCTATAGAGCTCATGATCCAGACACTCTGCAAGAGCACTGGCCACCACACATCTGTCGGTTTATACTGTGATGCCTTGCACGCTGCTCTCATTCTGGAAACTGCCACTGGTATGTCAGATACCAGCAGGGTCACCCATGGTGGACGGCTTTCGGCGGGGCTTCCAGACTGCGACAGATGAGAAAGGAGGGCCTGGCCATGTGCTTCTGAGAAAACCGGCAAATGAAAACCTTTTGCATAGCAGCAGACCGTTCGTTGTCAGATCTATTCTGGAAGGTGAGCCACTCAGGTTGGCAAGCACTCAACATGTGCCGGGGGGTGGGCTGCCTCCTCAAATACCACCCTTCTCGACGTGTATGGACTAGAGCGTACAGAACTCTCACTCGCTGGTGTGGTGTGGCTCAAAAGGAGAAGAAACCGTTGCAAACACCCACTAATCATTAGAACACGGAATGTGGAAAATATGAACCTAGGAAAACTGGAAGTCATTCCAAATGAAATGGAGTCCGTAAAGATGGATACTTTTGGTGGTAATGAGCAGAAGTGGACTGATTTGGGACAAACATATAGTTTACTGTACTGGGAATGACAAACTGAATGGCATCACACTGATTGTCAAAAAGAATATTTCAAGATCTCAAATACAAAGTTTCAGTCGTAGAATAATATCCATATGCCTATAATGAAGACCTGTTAATATGCCTGTTAATTCAAATTTACACACCAACCACAAAGGCCGAAGATGAGGTCATGGAAGATTTTTCCCAAGTTGATCAAACATGCACTTAGGGCGTATTGCTAATTACTACTGATTGGGACGCAAAAGTTAGAAACCTAGAAGCAGGAGCAAGAGCTGGGAAACACAGTTTGGTGATAGAAACAACTGGGAACCATAAGAGAATTTTCAAACCAATGATTTGTTTATTATTTTTGAACTGTACCAGATGGAATACACAGGGATCAAATGGACTATATCTGTGGAATGAGGTGATGAGATCGATATCATCAGTGAGAAGAAGGGCAAGGGCTGACTGAAGAGTAAACCATCAATTACATCCATTAATGACTCATGTGCAAGTTCAAATTGAAGCTGAAGAAACTTTAAAAGTCCATAAAACTGAAATATGACCTTGAGTATATATTGCCTGGATTTAGAGATCATCTCAAGAACAGATTTGATGCATTAAACTTTTTTTTTTTACATAAATCACTTTATTGGAGGCTCTTACATAAAACAAACCATACATCCATTATCTCAAGTGGATATGTACAATTATTGGTATCAACAATTTCTAAACATTATCTTTCTTCTTGAGCCCTTTGATATCAGCTCCTCTTTTTCTCTCTCTGCCACTCCCATGAGCCCTTAATATATTATGTATTGTTAACTATTATTTATACATATCTTATACTGCCCATTCCATCCAATGATGCATTAAACTCTTAAGACCAAAGGCCAGATGAGTTGTGGGATGACATTAAAGACATCCCACGTGCAGATAGCAAGACCAACTCAAACCAAATCCACTGCTATCAAGTTGATTCTGAGTCAGAGTAAGCCAACGTAGAGTTTCTAAGGCTTTAAGTCTGTCTGGGAGCGACAGAGAGCTTCATTTTTCCCTACAAAGGGGCTGGTGGATGTGAACCACTAACTGTGCTTAGCAGTCCAGTGCTTATCTGACAGCACCACGTGGGCTCCTTCCACGGAGAAAGCAAACCTAAAACCACACTGCTGTTGTGTCCGTTCCTTCTCAGAGCAATCCCATAGGGCAGAGTAGAGCTGTCCCTGTGCTTTTCCGAAACAGTAACTTTTTACTGAAGTAGAAGGCTTCATCTGAAGAAAGCAAGAAGTCATGAAAAAGAACGAAAAGACAAAAATGGATATTGCGGCCTCTGAAACATGTTCTTGATCATCAAGGAGGTAAAGCAAAGGGAAGAAATACTTCCCTAAAAGAGCTGAACGGAAGATTTCAGAGACAAAGGAGCATCTTGTGTGCGTAGGGAAACATGAAGGCCCGGAGCTGGAAAGCCACAGGCAGCCCTTCTCAAGCTTAATGAACTGCAGCAACAATGCACGCCCTGAGCTGCCGTTTTGAAGATTTTATGGGCAAGAATATTAACGAAACAAGAAGCATCAAAAGGTGCTTCTTTCCCGACAGAGTGGCTGGTGGCCGTGAACTACTAACTTTGTGCTTAGTGTACTAAAAAGAACTGGTTGATAGTCACCCATTTCAGGAGGTATCATATGATCACGGACTGATGGTCTTGAAGGAAGAAGTTCAAGCTTCTTTGAAGACATCCTTCAAAAACAAGCCTCCAGGAATTGACAATGAATACCAGTTGAGACTTTTCAACAAATGAATGCAATACTGAAAGTGCTCAGTTGTCTATGCCAAGAAATTTGGAAGACAGCTACCTAGCCAACCGGCTGGAAGAGATGCAGATTAGTGCCTATTCCAAAGAAAGGTGATCCGGAAATGATCGACAGTATCACTACTATCACATACACGAGTTAAATTCTGCTGAAGATAATTTTTCAATAGTTGCCGCAGTACATTGACAGAAATTCAATGCCAGAACTGCTAGAAATTCAAGGTCGATTCAGAAGAGGACGTGGAATAAGGGATATCAATGCTGACATCAGATGACTCTTGGCTAAAAGCAGAGAATACCAGAAAGATGTTTGCCTGTGTCGTTTTGACTATACAAAGTCATTTGATTGTGTGAGCCATAACAAATTATGGATACCATCAGGAAGAATGGGAATTCCGAAGACAATTGCACTCATGGGAAACCTGCACATAGACCAAGAAGTAGTGATATTTGAACAAAACAAGTGTCAGCAGCACAAATTTAAACTAGGAGAACCGTGACCTCATATTGATTTATGGCTGACTAGACAGTTTTCACCACAGATGCTACTTCCATATTTCCCCTAAGCTGCATTTATGTCACTGACTCTTGCCCCTCCTGTGCTGAATCTTAATAGATTCGCCTTCTAACACTGCGGGGTTACCAGTCACTATGGCCGGTTCTTGATGGGAGAAACAAAAGTGGTAGAAACGCAGGCTGCTTGAATGAATGCCTTGGCTAGTTGAGGTGGCAAGTTCGTGGAAGCCAGGGCTCTGAGGACCAGCATGTTCTTCCACAGCCCTTGTGGAAGTACCAGAAGCACTTTCTCCCTCTGAACCTGGTTGCCATGCCTTTAAAATTCAGCCCTTGAGAATGTGACCGGCTATCTAAGGTTAACACTCAGCTGCAGTCAACAGGCTTTAGGGTTGCATCACAATTAGAGCAGCCAAAGGCTAGTCTAGCTTCAGAAGATCCAAGTTCTTTGTTTCTTCTCTGCTGTCCTGAGGGTGTTTCTCACCACAGGGTTCCATGATGCTCCTGCACCTCAGCCTCAATCTAGACAAGAAGAAGCCAGGCAACATGGAGGGAGGGAAACAAAAGAGCACCCATGCAGGAAAGCAGTGTGTTTCCAGTGGTCATCACAGACTTTTGCTTGCATGTGATTGGCCACAAGTTATCCCATGATCACTGGTTAGCCTGTAGTCTGCAAAGGGTTAGGAACCTTGCTACCATCAGGCAAAATCCAGATCTTTTTCAGTGAGAAATGTGAAGACTGGATATTGGGAGATAGGTAATACTATCTGCTGCAGCTGAGTTAAGCTGTGGCCTAGTGCTGATTTTATCCCCAGAGATGTTACGGATTTTTTTGCCAGAGGCTCAAAATACTCCCCCACCACTACCGACCCCTTGCAGCAGCAGTTTCAACTCTGGTTGCAGGTTTGAGTCATCTAGAGCATTAAAAAACAAAACAAAACAAAAAAAACCCAACCCACTGTCATCAAGTCAACCCATAGTGAAGCTATAGGACAGAGTATGTCTGTAATACAGTTCCCTCCTCTGATCTTGGATTTTATTATTTACAACCTTTGGTTCACACAGGTGGGTGTGCTTCTTCTGTGTGGGATTAGCCGACACCTCATTTAGATAGCTTGAAACTTGTTTCAAGACAAGTTTTTAGACCCCAGATGTTATTCTGATAGGCAGATGTTGTTCTGATAGGCTTTCTTCACTGCATTTTGCTATATCACACATATCTTCATGGTCAATCTTATTTCAGCTATGTCCCCACTCATTTTCCTTCTCTTACTGGATTATTGTGAATCACATCTTAGATAGTATATTTAACTTTGTAAATATTTTAGTGTATATTTCTAAGTGATATGAACTCATTTTAGTAACATCACCATCAAACCAGGATCACATTCTCAAATGACTAATGAATCGGCAAAGCAAACCTGAGAACCATCAGCCTAGATCAATTACCCCTTCTCTTGGACCTCCTGTACCAGAATCCCCCCTTGTTAGAAACCCAGGGTCCCAAGTGCTACCCCTTCATCCTGAATCGGAACGTCAGTGGGAAGAACCTAAGAGTCTGTATTTTAACAGACTCCTGGTACCTGTTGCCCTTGTCACTCCGACTCATGGCAACTCCATGTGTGTCAGAGTGGGTCTGTGCTCTATAGGGTTTCAATATTTTTTTCCTCAAGTAGATCACCAGGCCTTTCTTCCAATGTGTGTCTGACTCAGATCTCTGACCAGCTGAGTGTCATAACCGTTAGAACCACTCAGTACCTCCTCATATACTTTGGACCTGGAATCAGGAAAGATGAGGTCCTGAAACAGCTCTGTATTTCACTCATGACACATTTGTTTGTGCATAGTATTTCCAATATCCTTCATCAACACTATAATTCAAATGCATCAGTTTTTCCGGGGGCTTCCTTGTTCATTGTTCAACATTCACATACATGTGAGGCAATTCAGAATACGATGGCTTGAGTCAATTAGTTCTGGTGATTTTCTTGCTGAACTTTGGGATTTTCTATGTATAGGATCATATAATCTGTAAACAAATGCCTGACCTTTCCTTTCTTGCTGTATAGCTTTGGTTGAGACTTAAAGCACAATATTGAATAAAGGGAAGCTGTTTGTTAGTTTCTTAAAAAGATAAATAGCAACTGTCATATTATCCAGCAGTTATACTTCTGAGCATTTATTCCAGAGATAGGAAAACTCAAATTCATTTAGAAATCTATACATGAATGCCCATAGTAGTTTTAGTCACAACAGTAGCTTTTTTCTTAACTACAAACAACAAACATCCTACTATCCTTAGTTTCGTTCATTGAGGACTAAAGTGTGCCTGAACCAAGTCATGGTATTTTCAATTGTGTTAGTCCGGGTAGACTAGAGAAACAAATCCAGAGAGACTCATGTGTGTAAGAGAGAGTTTTATATAAAGGGTAATTGTACATTAAGAAAGCATCCCAACCCAGTCCAGTCCAAGCCCATAAGCCTGATATTAGCCCATATGTCTGATAACCAATCTACAAAGTCCTCTTCAGACACACGAAACACATGCAATGATGACAAATGCAGGAAGATCGCAGGCCAGTGGGTGGGAAATCTTGTAGATCAGTGGCATTGTAAGCATCTCAGCGCTGACAGGGGTCTCCACGTGGCTTCTACAGGTCCAGGGTTCTGGGTGCATCAGGATAGGTCCATGTGGCGTCTCCTCACGGATGTCTCACAGGGAGTCAGCCTTGTCAGTAGAGAGTCTCTCCTGCCTCCAAGGAGGAAAAATACAGGATTTCCCAGAATTCTCAGGAGAAGGCCATGCCCACACAGAGGCCTCATTGGCTATATCCTGATTGACAGACCAGACTCCACCCCTTCACTCTTAATCCTCTCAAGTCCCAAATTGACACCAGTTATGTACCTACCACATCAATTGCCTCGCACGCATGTGAGAGTTGGACACTGAGTAAGGAAGACTACAGAGGAATCAGTGCATTGGAATGATGGTGCTGGTGAAGAGTATTGGAAAGTCCCACGGGCTGCCAGAAGAACCAGCAAATCTGTCTTGGAAAAAGTAGAGGCAGAATGCTCCTTAGAGACAAGGATGGCGAGACTTTGTCTCACATACTTTGGACGTGTTGTCAGGAGAGACCAGTCCCTGCAGAGGAGGGACATCATGCTTGGTAAAGTGGAGGGGCAGCAAAAAAGAAGAAGGCTCTCATTGAGATGGATTGACACACAGTGGGTGGCTGCAACAACTGGCTCAAGCACTGAAACAATTGTGAGGATGCTCAGGCCAGGGCAGTGTTTGATTCTGTTGTGCCCAGAATTGCTCTGAGCCAGTACCGACTCGATGGCACATAAAGACAACATAAGCATCCTGGATGTCCTTCCGCAGGTGAGTGGTGAACAAACTCTGTTATCTCCACACCAGGGAGTGCTGCTTAACAATAGAAAGAACATCGATTCATGCAACAACTTGGAAGAGTCCCCAGAAAAGTGTGTTGTGTGAAAAAAGCCAATCCCGTACACACTGCCTTATTCCATTTATACAACATTCTCAAAGTGACGGAACTGTGGAAATGGAGAACAGATTAGGGGTCATCACAAGTTAAGAAGTAGGAGAGAAATGGGCGTAGAAGGGCCTCATCAGGAATCTTGGTGGTGATGAGAATGTTCTTGACTATCAATGTCAGCATCCTGGTTGTAATACTGTACACAGTCCAGTCTTACAAAGTGTTACTGTTGGGGCAAATTGGGAAGAATATACGAGGGTATTTCTCGGTATTTCTTAAAACTACACGGGACTACAAAATATCAAAATGAGTTTTATTGAAAAAAATACTATTGGGAAATGTACTTTGCTGTTATTAGTTGCTGTTGAATTGATTCCAACTCATGGTGACCCTATATGTGGGGGGTAAGATGTGAATTGTCAGGAGCTTTCTTGATAAAGCTAAAAATTTTGAATGATAATCCACATTTGAGTTTTTTTGGGAAATGTCTCCTATTTCTGTCATGTTGGAAAGCAGAAGATGAAACTTCTTTGGGGGAGGACAGTTTTGACAGGGCCTCTCCACAGCAGTGCATTCTGGATGTAGGTCTGTAGGTCTCTTCCTGCACAGTGCCAAAGATGACCACTGCAGTTGTTGGCCTTTTCCTATCAGCTGAATAACCCTTTTGGGGAGAGGGCCAATTAATTAGCAGTACCATCAGAATTGGGGTGGGGCCACAACAATCAGGGTTGATTGCTGCGTCTAGCTGGGTGGTACTTGAGGGCCCTCTGAATTGTGATGTTGCAAGAATCTAGGGAGGGACCACAACTTGTGCTCACAACTTCATTCTCTCTTGCAGACACAAATCGCTGTTTCCTTCCGTCCCCTCTGCTCCCATCAGCCAACGAACTTACGCCAGCCAAGTCAACCCTGTGAGTCATCTCCTGGAAACCAGTGGAGTGGCCTGAGCCCTTCCCCGGGGCCCCGGGCCCTGAGTCACCTTCTGAGCACAGCTGTAAACCTTTCAAGACCCTTGGAGCTGCTTTCTCATTTGACACCAGCAGTACAGGGGTTAAGACATTACATTGCGGAGACTTTCTTAATGAATTTGGGGTATAAGAGTTTGGACTCAAATCAGTCAGTCTTGGTTCCAATTCCAGTTCTGCCATCAACTCCATTGGGCATTTAAAAATATCCTGTAACATGGTATAGTAATCATAGTTATGGGGTTGTTGTGAAGATGAAATAAGACGAATAGATGAATGGGGCCTTACAATGATAAGTACTCCAGAAGCAACTGTCTTTGCTGATGGTGGTGGTGACAGCAATGGTGATTGTAGATGAGGAATCAGCGCCACAAGGGGAAGTAACTTCTCCAAGGGAGACTGTTAGTTGCAGAGTTGGTTAGAACCCTGTCTCCTGATTGTGAGTGCAAGTTTTTCCTACTCTACCCTGGTGCTTCTCCAGACAGGGAGAGCCCAGCAGGAAGGGCCAGGTCTGGGCCATTCAGGACACACCAGAGGCTGGGGAGGCTGGTCACTCTGCTCTCAGGATCCTGAGTTACTAATATCAGGTCTGGCCTTGTACAACAGGTTGGCAGTAAGGCTGTCCTGGTCACAGGCTGTGACTCTGGATTTGGGTTCAGCTTGGCCAATCATCTGCATTCGCAAGGCTTCCTGGTGTTTGCTGGCTGCTTACTGAAGGTAAGAGACGGGTCATTGCCATTCTCATCATCCCTTTGCGCACACCCACTGTTTGCACTTTACTTGCTTTCCTAGCAACCGTCTAGCTATGCCTTGTTCTTCATGGCTTTGCCCACTCACTCATTCATGTGTTCAAAGACCAAATATTATCAGGATGCTGAGTACTTGTCTAGTTTTCTGTAGAAAATAAGATCAGATCCTTGTCCCCAAGAAGCTCACTGCCCTGTGGTGAGTGAGGGGACCAGCAGTGCACAGAAACACCTGGACAAGCGAGCGTGAAGAGGGGCCTCAGGCATGTGCTGGGCATGTTCACCGAGAAGGAGAGAAGGAACGAATTGCTCTGGCATCACAGAAGAGGGGGCGTTTGTTCTGGGCCAGGGAGCAGTCTTCACATTGTGTTCTGTGGGAGATGAGTGCAAAGAATACCCCGAGGCTCCTTCTGGGCATGTCAAGTGACTTGACAGTACACAAAGGAAGTGTTGGAACTTGTGACTGCAGAAGTAACTCCGGGACAGGTTCCTGAAACCAGAGAATTGTGTAACGAAACCACAACCCACCTTGACAGCGTTTACACCACTCCCCAACGTTTCCTCATCACCGTGTGCAGGTAACCCCAAAGCTGACTGGTTTCCCGTCCCATGGTCACTGTTGTAAGGTGCCACTGAGTTGGGTCTGACCCATAACTACCTTCTGGACAACAGAATGAAATCCCACCTGGTCCTGCCCCAGCTTCACAAGGGTGGGTCTGTTCCAGCCCCTTATGCGGCCACTCCGTCAATCCAGCTGGTGGAAGGCCTTGCTCTTCCTCATGGCCTCCTTCCTTGACCAAGCAGGATACCCTTCTCCAGGCACTGGTCTCTCCAAAGGACAGGAGACAACGCCTTGTCATGCTTGCCTCTAAGGAGTATTCTGGTTGCACTTCTTCCAAGACAGACTTGTTGGTTCTTTTGGCAGCCCATGGGACTTTCAATAGTCCCCACCTGCAGCATCGTTCAAATGCATTGACTCTTCTTAGGTCTTCCTTATGCAGGGTCCAATGTTCTCATGCATACAAAGCATTTGGAAATACCATGGCTTGCGTCATGTGGACCTTAGTCCTCAAAGTAACACCCCTGCTTTTAAATGCTTTAAAAAGGTTTTGTGCGGCAGATTTACCCAAAGCAATGCATCCTTTGATCTCTCGAGTGCTGATTCCATTATCATTGATTATAGATCCAAGCAAGACAAAATCCTTGACATCGTCAATCTTTACTCCATTGACCATGATGCTTGCTACCTATTGGTCCAGTTGTGAGGGTTTTAGTCTTCATTACGCTGAGTTGTCGTCCATCGTGAGGGCTGCAATCCTTGCTCTTCATCAGCAAGTGCTTCCAGTCCTCCTCACTTTAAGCAAACAGGGTTGTGTCAGCTGCAGATCGAAAGTTGTTAGTGAGCCTTGTTCCGGCCCTGATGACTCTGTGTTCATATCGTCCAGCTTCTCAGATTATTTGCTCAGCGTACAGATTGTCTAAGTATGGTGAGAGAATCCCACCCTGATGCACGCCGTTCCTGATTTTAAACCAGTATTCTCGAGGTGCTCGGACAACCTTTCCTGATTTTAAACCATGCAGTATTCTCAAGGTGTTTGCACAACCTTTCCTGATTTTAAACCATGCAGTATTATTTCATTGTGTTTACACAACTACCTCTTGATCCAGGTACAAGTTCTGCATGAGCACACTGAAGTGTTCTGGAATTCCCATTCTTCTCACGGCTATCCATAGTTTGTCATGATCCACACAATCAAATGTCTTTGCACAATCAATAAAACACAAGTAACTAAACGGTAGGTTTAAATATATATGATAATTTAAACAAGTATTCCAAATTTCCCAATAAGGTATTGTGTAATTTTGTATTACCATCAATATCAGTATACCCTTTTCCATACAATATGCTTTTGATTTTTTACCAATCTGCTTGTGAGTAATGATCTCTCACTTAAGTTCTAATTTGCATTTCTCTGGTTATTAGTGCACGCACCTCTGTTCTTTAGGTCATGACTCAGAAGCAGCATATAAATCACCTGTGCTCATTCCATTGACTGTGACTTAGACACATGTTCTAACCTGGCTGCAAGACAGGCTGGGAAATGTTGTGTGTATTATGAGACAGTATACACCGTGCTTAAGAAGCTAAGGGTTCTATTACTAGTAGAGGAGAGGGTGAATAGGTACTTGGAAGAACTTGCTATCTCTACTTCACGGAATGAAAATTTTTTCTTTATCTTGAAGACAATAGGAAACTAAGGAATGGATTTTTATACTAGGCTTGCTTTATTGTATTACACTTAAAAACACTTATTAAGGCTTAACAGGACAAAGACATATCATTTGGATAAGGGAGACTGTTAGATTGGGTAGACTAGAGAAATAAATCCAGAGACATCCATATGTCCATACGAATGAGCTTTATATACAAGAGCAATTGAATATTGAGAAAACGTCCCAGTCTGTCCACATCAAGTCCATAAGTCCGGTATTAGCCCATCTGTCCATACTAGTCTATAAATTCTTCTTCTTTTTTTTTTATTAATCATTTTATTTGGGCTCATACAGTTCATCACAATCCATACATTCATCAATTGTGTAAAGCACACTTATACATTTGTTGCCCTCATCATTCTCAAAATTCGCTTTCCGCTTGGGTTCCTGGAATCAGCTCCTCATTTTCCTTTTTCTCCTCCCCTCCCCCCCTCTCCCCTCCCTCGTGGACCCTTAATAATTTATGAATTATTATTTTATCTTATCTTACACTGCCCAGCGTCTCCTTTTGCCCACCCCTCTGTTGCCCATCCCCCAGAGAGGAGGTTATATATAGATCCTTGTGATCGATTCTCCCTTTCTACCCCCCTTCCCTCCCAGTATCGCCACTGTCACCGCTGGTCCTGAGGGGTTCGTCTGTCCTAGATTCCCTGTGTTTCCAGTTCCCATCTGTACCACTGTGTATCCTCTGGTCTAACCAGGTTTGTAAGGTAGAATTGGGATCATGGTAGTTGGAGGGAGGAAGCATTTAAGAACTAGAAGAAGGTTGTGAGTTTCATTATTGCTATACTGAACCCAGTATAAATTCTTCTTTAGACTCATGAAACATGCAATGGCACCAGTGCAGGAAGACCAGAGACCTATGTTGGAACGTCTTGTGGATCCAGTGGCTGTGTCAGCATCTCAGCTCTGGCAAGGGTCTCCACATGGCTTCTCCAGCTCAGGGCACTAGCGTAGCTCCATGTGTCTTGTCAACTGGAATGTCTTGGAGGGAGTGAGTGCATGTCCCCCATCCAACGAGCTATTTATCTCCTTAACACCTCCAAACGGGGTCGTCAAGCTGCAGCATGATTGACAGGCTAAACTCTACCCCTTCACTCTTCAGTCTCTCAAATTGACAACAGATTATGTAACTATCACAGAGACTATTAGCATAAGGTCTGTTTTAGGGTACAAAAATTAACCCCAAAATCAAATAGAAATTAAGGAGCATGTATTAAGTCTCAAACAGGACAAAGACAAATCATTTCGGTGAGGGAGACCATTAGCACGAGGTCATAATCATGTCCAAGTGTTCATAGCCACACAGCCACTTAAATGGGACCTGGAGACCAAAGTAAAGTGGCACAAATCGTAATTGGTGGTCGATAAAGACATTCCATTTACAGGTGGACCTACAGAATTGGGAATGAGACCATGATTGGGACATGTACATTATGTTAGAAGAGCTTACAAGATTTAGGCCAGGACCTTCTGACCAAGGCAGTCGGCACGACTCATGACTGTTCAACACCCAGTCTGCCTTAGGGCTTTTGCCTAGGTGTGCCCTTGATGGAGATTGAACTCATGACTGTTCAATCTCCATCAAGGGCACACCTAGGCAAAAGCCCTAAGGCAGACTGCCCCTCTCTAGGCTGGCTGGAGAGGGGTAGAAGTAATCCACTTTCCAATGTACTCTGGCCCAAGGCACAACTGCCCTCGTCAATGGTCAGAAGGAATTCAGTTGAGGCGCAGTCCACATGTTGTTAGGTGCCCTTGGGTCCGTTCCAACTGAACCTGATTCTCAGTGCAACAGAGCAAAACACTGCCCTGCCCTGCAATTATTCTTACGTTTGAGCCCTTGTTGCAGCCACGTAGAGTCTGTGCAAATGCATTTGGGGCTTTCACCCTCATCCATAACCTTTTGAAAGTGAGATGCCCAGAATTAAAACTCTAATATAATCCTTTCCTCATGGATTTTATTATTAATAATCCTTTGATCACACAGATGGATCTGCTTCTTTCATGCAGACTTAACTGGCACCTTTCTTAGATGACCGCATATTTTAAGACAACATACTAGGCATAATTTCTTTGTAAAAATGAAACCAATTCAATGGGGAAAACTTAATAATAGATGTAAATACAAAGAAAATAATTTGCATTGCCAGGTTCTAAACAACTTTCCCTGACCAGAAAAGGATTTGTTTGTTCTTTAAATATTAAATCCTTTTGAATCACAAAAGTAATGTATTTTCCAAAGAAGCTTTATTGTTAGGGACCTGGAGCAATTACCCTTTTAATGGAAGGAGATCAAACACAAGGCTGCAATAACAGAAGAGGTTTTATTATGCTAGCTTAAGCCAGTGCTTATCTGCATGCACCGCCTTGGACAAGAGCCCCCACAAAAGGAATTCCAAAGTATTTATTTACAGGTATACTTAAAGGGGCGTTCCCAGCCTCCCCTTCCCGTCAATCCACTGATTGGCTCATTTGAGGTGGGTTGGCAGTCTGGTCCTTTGTGTAGTTCCCGCGCTGGCTGTGTGGTCCTCCCCTCAGAGGTTGGGCTCGCTGTGTCGTTGTTCCCGGGTTGGCTAGCCTCAGTCTATGGGTACGTCCTACTTTACACTGCTAGGAAACATGAAACCACAGCCTGCCCAAGATCCCGGAGCCAGGCACGGGGGAAATTTGGCTTTACACTATAAACTATCAATCATG